TATCAATAGATCTACTAGCTTTATGTCCTATAAATCTACCAGACTACTCTCTATACACACCGACTAGTAGTGACTGAGTGACTGACTGCACTGTTCCCATTTGATTCAAACCAATAAACCAATACTAAACATAAACTGAACGATAACGAACAAACCTCATACGACTTGAAACATGACTTAGTTATGAGAAAATCTAATACTGTTTGAAATAAACATGTGCACAATTCAAATATTTTATATCCATTCACTGCATTTAATTATTTTATATATAGTCTTATAATTGTAATTGTTTTGTTTCTAGTTTTAAATTCACATATTTAAAGATTGAAATTAAATATTTTAATTAGAATACTCGTATTAGGGTGGAAAATCTTTCTAATTGCCTAAAAGGTCAATACAATCTCAACCTCTCAATATACAGGGTGGGGGAGAACCGATTGAGCAGTTTTGAGGTAAAATAAGAGTAATGGAGGTGCATAAAGAAGAAAGTTTATTTTCCTAGAGGTTAGCATAACATACAATTTAGAATACTTATGTTTTGAAAACAATATCTGGAAGATGGGGGTCGTTAGCTGCAACACACTGTTGGAGTCGTTCTCAGAGGAGAGAGTAACCGTAACAGTGAATTCTGATTGCTATGCAGCAATGTTACAAAATTTCTTGCAGCCCATGATGGAAAACATTGTTGAAAATGAAGCATTGGGAGGCGTGTGGTTCCAGCAGGATGGGGCTACAGCTCACACAGCCCGAATGTCACTCAATGATTTGAAATGATGATGTTCCCAGACTCTGAGGGGTGATTTACAGTGGCCTGCGAGGTCACCTGATTTGAGCATTTGCGATTTCTTTCTTTGGGGACATCTAAAAGAAAAGGGTTGCTCTCACACCCACCCTTGAAGTCGCCCTCACACCCTACCACAGCTAAGGGAATGGACTATTGCAGCAGTGGTTATGGCCATACCTTGCCATATGTGTGAACGTGCTGTAGAAAACTTCCGAGAACGACTCCAACAGTGTGATGCAGCTAACAAACCCCATCTTCCTGATATTGTTTTCAAAACATAAGTATTTTAAATGGTATGTTATGCTAATCTTTAAGAAAATAAACTTTCTTCTTTATGTACCTCCATTACTCTTTTATTTTGCCTCAAAACTGTTCAATCAGTTCTGCCCCACACTGTATAAGCTAGCTAACACATTTAAATTGTATATTGTAATCAATATATAATAAATAGTTAAAGACTACTTATAGCCTTATAAGAATTAGCTAAGCTGCTAGCTACGTACAATGTATTGCACACTTGATGCCTCTGTACCAAAAACATTCAATTTATTGGAACCTAATACACACTATTGGCAACAAGTTTATATACCAATTTGTCATTCATAGTACATTTATACTAAACCATGAATAACAATACCTCAATATAAATTAAAGACTGCCACTCAATATATTTAAATATATGAAAAAAATAAAAAAATCGTGATTTTTTATAAAAAATCAAGTGATTTACTCACATGATTTAATCATTTTGATTTAATCATTGCCAACCCTATATATACTAATGAAAAAAATGTCATAAAATTTTGTGGAAATCAAATGAACCGTTTGCATTTTACGCCTATTTTAAAATGCAATGTCATATTGACCTCACGGTGTTTCTAGTGTTAAATGGCTTATGGAAAGGCTATTGCATAGCCAATCACAGTCTGGATAAGATGAAATCATGATCCCATCACCAATCACAGTCTGGATAGCATGAGTTCATGATCCTATCAACCAACCACAGTCTGGAGAGAATGACCTTGCAACCAATCACAGCTGGTCCTGAGCTGGAATGGGACATGTCTCCACCCAGAAGTACCTATGAGCTCTATATATTTGAATTTCACCAAGGTATGAAGTGTTAGCTATTTGACTGGGTGTAGAAGTAAATGATGAAGTGATGTCTGAGGCTGAGAGAGTAGGTAGTAGAGTGCTGATGCAAGATATTGCTTGCATCTCATATCTAGGTGTTCTTTCAGAAGGACTTCAGTTTTTGTGTGTAAGTGGCTTTAAGGTGTTGTTTAGGGGCTGCCAATTGTGATTGAGTGCTGTGTTTTGAATGGTTTGTAGGTGGTTGTGGAATGTGGGTGAAATTATGGGTGCCCAGGCTGGACTGGCATAGTCTATCACTGAGCATATAGATTGTACACTAGTGTGAGCCTGTGAGGGTTTCTTTGTTCTTTCCAAATGTTGTTCCTGCTTGAAGGTTTGAAGTATTTTTAGCCTAGGTCTGCATTTTGTTTTGATGTTCTGTAGTGTGGCTGATAAGACAAAGAAGTATTGTGACACCTAAAATCTTGGTTTCATGTGTGTGTGGTATGATGGTATTTAGTGTGACTGACTGCACTAAATAACTGCATTGACTATTTAGTGTGATATTCCTTAGTTTGGTTTGTTAGTTGTATGCTGGTTGATTAGAGAGTCTGTTGCTTGCTTGTTGATTTAGCGAGTCTGTTGCGTGCTAGCCAGCCCTCCCCTCTACTAGTGATGTAAGGTTTTACATGTATGGAGCATATGTTTGCATTGGTGTGTGTTGATTTAATTGTGATGTCATCTGTGTACAATGAAGGATTGGTAAGAGGACTGATCCTTGGGGTATTCCATTTGGTATGTTCTTTGTGTGTGACAACATGCCATTGTAGTATATGAGTGTCTGCCTGTTGAGTAGTTGGCAAACCAGCATCTGGTGTTATGTAGTATTGCATTCAATGCATTGTAGATTTAGTCTACGAGTAGGAGGTGTGGGATGGCATTAAAGGCTTTACTAATGTTGATTGTGATCAGAAGTGTACAGTACACTATGAGGTGTGAGGTATGGGTTATGTATTGTATAGGTTGTGTGAGGCAAGTGAGGAGTGTGGTGCTGAAGTGATGGCATGGTAAGAGATGTATATATGAAACTGAGCAGATATATAGGTGATTGACAGAGGCATGATAATGCATAAGTAGCATCAAACACCTAACAGGGGAAAATGGTGGTCATTTTTTTAGGTACATCACGGAATTTTAAGGTACAATTTATAGTGATTTTTTTTGCTCAAAAAAGGGTTTAGCGACCTAAAACCCCATTGTCCCCACCCTTCAACTTGAAACTGAGCTGAAATTTTTGTACTTTGCTAGAGAACTCACTTTCTTATTACCAAATATATTAAACTCCCCTTTATAGAATTCTACTTTGCTGTGACACTAGCTAGCTTCAGCATTGAACTCAAGGCAGCTTGTGTATGAAGATATAGGTACGTAATGCATTTTATAATTAGAAGGCATAAATGTTTGAATGGTTGCTCATATTACTCATAGACTGTTATACAGGGTAGGTACACAATTGATCAACAATGGCAATTCATTGACTTGAAAACATCCTCATTCCTGGCAACCAAACATTTTCAATTCCTCATTGAAATAGTGATTGTGGAATGTTGGTTTTATGATTGATCTTATGGAACCCAACAATAGTTGATTTTTTCTAGCCATTAGAATGATTGAGTTGGTCTATAAGGGGCATAATATTTGCCCCTGCATCAGTAGTATTGAAGATATGACCAATGCAACACGTTGTTGTAGATGTGAGCAATATATTGTGCTGGCTTGTAATGGGTACATTGGGCAAACTAGATTCAGTTACTCAGTTATTTGTTGCTTCATATGATGTTCTCTTATTTAAAGCTTCACCATTTTTTATCATTACTAGCAAGAATCGTTTTTAATCCATGTGAAAATTGGTGATGGTTTCTAGTCCCAGCTACTGTTGTATTTTTGTGCATGATTGTATGCATGTAATAGCTTAAACTCCATTTCCCTTTATAGACTAACTTTATTTTTGATAAATTTCCATAGCAACAAGTCATTTGAATTCACGATTCAATTTCTCTAAAACCTCAAAGAATTTAGTAGGACTGCAAAAGCAACACAACTCCCTTCTGCAACAAAATGTTATTCTCCATACCTGATTCATTTTTATTTTTAGGAGGATTTTGTATGTATTTCTTAGCTCAACCTTCATGTTCTTACATTACCTACATGATAATTATTCATTTTAAGTCTTGTATTGATATTGCAAATATTTCACTGAACTGTCTTCTGTGTTATTTATCATTCAACAAGTTTTTTCCTATTATTTTTTGCACCGGCACAAATAATTGAATACATTAAATGGTAGGATGAATTTAAGCATTAAGGATGTAATACTAAGTATTTTTAAAGCAACATCACTTTCCCTGTATTTTAACCTGTATTTTAATCAACTAACATTATCTGAAGAATATTGCTCAATCCTGAAAATTTAAATAAATAAATTCTCTGGTCATTATCCACCAGTGTTTAAACACATTTATACACATACATTTTGCTATCCCATACTTTATTTCATTAGGTAGTCATTATTTTTAAGAATCTTTCATTATCCTTTATTCTGAGTAGGGTTGTTGGCATTTAAATAGTCAATTACTTGGAAAACAGGTTTATCTTGCATGCCGCCATAGACATTAGACCTGGCAACAATATCTAGTAAATTTATTCATGCTAAATTAATGGCATTTTTAAATTTTAATGGTAAATTTTTGTTGGAATTTTCTGCATTTCAATGAATAAAATACAGTAGATTATAGCTGAACATTCAATTTGGTTGAAAGTTAGTTGTCTGTACTGGGAATTCCTCACTTTAGCATTGATTTCCAACTATAACCATTTTATTTCAAAACAAAAGCAATAAAATAAAAGCAATAAAAGTTACATTGCAAAACAGCCTTACTTATGTAGGTACTTGTTATTCAACCTAATTGCATTGCAGTTACTGAAAATGTTTTTTTATAGATGAAGCATATTTTTTGAAGTAGAGGATAAGTGTTAGAATATCAATAATTATGATTAAATGTGGTGCCAGAAGAACTTAGTTGACTCGTCTAAATTCTGCTATTGATTGGCTATCAATTGATTCATTTTCCTCATTGAGCAGGTCAAATGAGACTTTGGGGTTATGAATTTCCGGACCTCACGCCTCAAATTGAACCCATGACCATATATGTTCAGAATTTACCTGTATTGGTAAGTTAACTCATAAATGTTTAGCCTTTGATGATCTGGATCGGCCTAACTATTTTAAACATTAATCAGTTTGTCTCCTTCTATTGTATTGTTAATGGCGAACCATTTTGCTATTGTTATGCATATTTTAGTCCTAATTTGTCAGATTTCTTTATTTTGTTTGTATTATTCCTGTAATAAATAATGTGATTCATGCATTTATATAAGTTTGTCTTGGAGTGTCAGTTACGAAATGTTGCAGCTAACAAAATGTTGTAACACAAAAGCATTCTAAAAAGCCTATTGTAGCTGTAGTTAACAATAATTTGTTTGACAGTTTCAAATTCATCACAAATGGTAAGGTTTTTCAGAAAAATATTCAAAACGTAATTTTCTCATCTTCACATATTTTTTCTAATTTGTGGGGGCCCAATAACTTTTGTCTATAAATAATTGAGGAGGCATTTTATTATTCTGTATTCATGACCATAGTATTTTATTCCAATGTCTACATTTGAATACCTGTAAATAACTATTATTCAACTGGTATTTCACGATTCATACATCAATTATGCAACTATATTTTTTACCTACAATCACATTGACAGTAATCAATTTGAATGTTTTTAGAGCATAAAAATAATGTTTTCACTGAGTGTTTTTTCTTTGAATCTTTATGATTTGATCATAATTTAAATTTAAATATCAGGTTAATAAAGATGGGATAGCGGAGAAGTTTGGTATTGCACAAGACTGCATCACCCTGAAGCGGAAGCCTGGCAAGAAGTCTGCCTCTGCCATCATTGTTCCCCCCAGCTGGAGTAGAAGTGATTTGTGAGTTGAGAAAACCTAATGAACATATTGTATATTTTTGATGTGAGCAACTACAGCAATTCCCCACTTGCCTCTCTGTCCTGCTAAAACATTGGTGTCATATTCTGGTCTGCTGATAAAGGTATGACCACGAAAGATGAATTTTAAACTGAATGCTGAAAAATACCTCTTTTTTTCAATTATCCTTCCTGATGTCATTACTAATTGATATAACTTAGGTTTGAAAGTAATGCCTTTTTCAATTCTGTCAGAATTCTTTGCCTCAATGATAAGGTTTGAGAAATTTGTTACAATATTATTTTTCTGTATTAGTGTAAAGACTTTTGATTAGGTTCATACCAGTGGTGGTTTTCTGGGAAAATGGAGAGACAGCAAGAGGTTGACTTTGATGTCTCAAAAGGTGCGTTTGTTCTTATGCGGTGGCAATGTCTGCTTCAATCCGCTGTTATTTTCAATCACAGTTACAAATGCATGGATTTTAAGGGTACCAAAATCATATTAATGTATGTTTTTTCACTTTTTAGATTCAGTCTACCTTTAAAGCCCTTTATTTCCCCCTCAATTTTCAGGGGCTTTATTGCTGGCCTTACTGCCACATTACTTGCTTAATAAAATCTGCCATTTCGCTTGACTTGTCTTTAGCACCTTACATTGTACCTCCTACAATATTTTATCAATGAATCAGAGTGTAACTACACATTTGTCTTATCTTATTGATTCTACTACATTTGGCTGACCATTTCTTGTTACTTCTAACTCTCATTTCAATGATAGGTTTCTTAGCCGCTTCTGAAAACTGCAAACAGCATTATTATAGAACATTGGTAAATTATGATGTCGAGAAAAATGAGTTTAATGAAAAGATAGTTTTATTCTGGAGGTTTTGGATTCCTTTTATTGAGATCCGAGCCACTGATTACAAGGAGGTAAGATTATGTTTCAATATGTAATATGTCATTTAAATCATTTTTTTTAATTTGCTCGCATTTTACTTAGTGAAAAGTTCTTTAATTTTAAGTTTATTAAATTATTTATTTTAAATTATTTATTATTTTATAGTTTACATTATTTATTATTTAATACTTTTTCAGAATTTTAAGTGATCCTGATGCAGTGTTTGGGAAGCGGAAAGCATTTGTGAGGCAATCCTATGACTCGGACACATCACGACCCTCCTCAAAGCACTACAAGCCTCATAAGCTGTTTAGTGAAGAGTTTGACTCGAGCCCTGCATGCAATGGACAGCCTACACTTCATGTCCTCCATGATGAAGTCTTGCTTCATATTATAAAATATTTAAATGTTGTTGAAAAACTGAGGCTTGCAGCAGGTAAGTTGCAAACAGCTTATTAGATCAGGCTGTATGACGGCAGCCATTATGATCAATCCATTTATTATCATGTGAGTTAACTATTAGGACAATACGTTTACATCGCACATCTTTATAGGATGATCTTATCTGTTTGTCTTTTTATGTTGTTAGCATTTCTCTTTACACTACTACACTATTGAACGTATATTAATTCATTGTAATCAACAACTACCTCATTGTATCACCTACTTTTTGTTCGGCTGAAGTTCCCTCCAGAAGTCGAGCAGCTAAACTGGAAGAGGCAAGCTATTACCTATTAATCAATATTCTGACTTTTCATAATCTATCTCTAGGTTCATTCTTCTTGCAGTGTGTCGACGCTTCCAGTCTCTGGTTTACCGCGAGCTGGGCCAGAATAGCGTCATAGACTTTACTGATGAAGGCTGCGTCTGGCGGAGTGCTCACTCCAACCTCACCAAATGCCGCAGGTGGGCTTTTACCAGCTGACCTTACATGGAAGTGATTGTACAGGGAAGTGAAGCGATCATATTGTGTCATGACTGCCACTACATGGGAGGGATCGTGTTGTCATGACTTCCACAGCTGAGAAGTGATAGTGTGGTTTCATGATGGCACACCCGTGATTGGACTTCTGACATGTGTCTGTGCTCGTCCGAAGTCCTATTGGATTTCACGTTCATATAGACATTGATCCTTGGCGCCTCAGTGCAGAGCTCGCGGTATACGGCAGTGGGTCTCGGTTGTAGGGTTGTTGTCTCGTATGCAGGATTCTTAACATTTCTCTTCTCTGTCTCTCTCGTGCGGGCGGGTGCGGCCGACGTCTTATGTCGGTTTCTGTTCACCTGTCCAGTCCCATTCCTTCGTCTCTTTGATATGCTAACTCAGCTTCTTTCTTGCCAGCTTTTGCTGCCTGGCAACTTGAAGCCAATCGCCCTTTTTTTATGAATGATTGGAGAAATTAGCGATAACCCTGGTTCATTTTCAACCTATTCTGTGAAATAGCTTAATAGCTGAAGCGCTTCTTAATCATTCTACGACTCCTTCATAAATTGAGTTGATTTATTGTTATTCATAATTAATTTTCTCCATTAATTTTTCTTTCATCTATTATAAATATTGCAAATTTGGACTAGAGTGTGCTTGTATAGTAGGCTTTTTCATCCATTCGTTTTTTTTTTAATTTTTGCTTGACACGTATATTGCCTTGTTTTGTATTGATAGTTTATTACGGCATAGTCATGTTTGCTCTGCATTCCAGCGAGTCGCCAGCCCAGCTCACGCAGGACCTTAAGCTCTGCACCTACAAGATGCTTATCATGAACGCAGACCACCTCACTACTCTGAGACTTGACGAGTATCGCTGCATATTTGATGTCAACGTATTTGCTGCTATAGGTACGCAGTTAAATTTGTCCCTGCTTCTTCCAAATCAGACCCATAAACTACAATATTTAGTTACATAACCGTTTCTATAATTCAAATTCTTTTTTATTTCATTCGTATTGCTCCATCAAATTGTTTTATGCAGTTTTTTGTTGGGTAACTGAATAAAGACTATTAGTTAAAAGATTCAAACAGTCTGGTTGAGTTCATGAACATTATGAACATACAAATAAGTGTGAACACTAGCATTTTTCCACTTCAGGTCGACTTGCTGTGAATTTGGAGGATTTATGCCTGCAGTTCTCGTCAAAGAGAATGCATTACACGCCAATGAAGGCCATCTTCTCGCGCTGCACCAAACTCAGGACTTTCTGTGTCGAAGTGAGAAATTTGTGGCAGAGTTCTCAATATGAGTTGAGTTGGAATATAGGTAGATGCATTGTCAGAATTTATCGACCTGTACAGTGACATAATCTTGATGATCAACACTCGCTTCATGTGGTGGTCATTGTCTGGTCGTTAGTCGAGGCAAAACTAGTGTAAATTTTTTGTATGGTATTTTCACCTGCGCTCTATGCGACCTGCGATTTCCATATCTTGGCGATTAGCTCAGAAAGTTATTCAAGTTTTTTCTAGAGTGGGTGTTATGATCTACTGACAGTTTTGGGTTTATACGTCAGAAAAGTACTTTATGCGTCTTTTCTATATTATAATCTCGGCAAAATGTTGAAGATAAAATTTGTTCGAAGTGTTTCAAAAATTTATTTGTTCAGTTCGGGGAATACGAGGAATTTGTTTGAGAGACCCTTCGAAGTGCCATCCAATTAATGATTGGTGTTTCTAGGGCAGATTCAACTCTGAAGAACTGCTGCGAGACTTGAAACAATGCAAATGTTTGGAAGTGTTGCGGCTGAGCAGTATATTTCATCTGAACTGGGCTCTTCTATGGAAGTTGAAAAGTCCTCTGAAAGAGCTGTCAATCCACAACGTTAAAGCGTTATGTAACTTGGGAGCAATTGAAAGCTATCCGGACTTAGCATTCAACTCAAGCCTCACGACATACCGCATGTACAACAATATCTTGCAGCCACATCCGTAAGTCGAATACCGCCTAACAGGTTACAGAAAAAAACGGACTGAAGGAAAGACAGGTTACGGGAAAAATAGGTTTAAAAAAAATAACAGTTTAGGAGGAAGTAACATGTTGGAGTAATGTAATTAACACTTTTCGTGGATTAAATTCTAATGGTTGATGCTCCTCAGGAGCGACTTGAATGATAATCAAGCTTGCTTTTTTAACGAAATATATTTCGTGATGGATTGAATATTTAGAACAAGTTTGACCTGAATAGAGGCTCTATCTTCAAGTTGTGTTCTCGTTATAATGCATTAGGGCAGTTTCTTTGACGACAAATTTTGAATTATCTTATAAAGTGTTTGGATTGTAAAATGAGTCAACTTTTTGTTTTAATTTTCATACCATTGCTGTGTTGAATTGCAGAAATGTGTGTGAAATGCGCATCACTACTAATGAAGTCATAGCTCACAGAAGACTTTTTGAAGCATCTATTACTTTGTTAAAAATCGCTCAAATGCGAGCATCATGACTTGAAAATACTCCTAAAAGATATTAGTTCATGTTTCCTAAATTGTCCTTTGCCTTGAAGTTGAGCATAGTTGAATCAAGCGCTTTATTTTCGCTGGTAAATCAGCACTAAAATTATTTGAAGAATCTTTCCTACAATTGACGTGCTTGCCTAAACATCGTGAGTAAAGATCTGAGTTCCATTTAATAAGGATGATACTTCCTTGCGAAGTTGAGTAATGTTACTTGTATATCTTGCATTGAGTCACTTGACTTTACAAGTGGTATTTGCTGCGCTTGGCGTGCAGGAGGAATGTGTGCCTCTGTCATATATGTGGCCCTGTCATCCATGAAACTCTGTCATCCATGGCACGCAAGTGTCCTGCGCTGGCCCATCTCCAGCTTGATTGCTCCGAGTTTTACACGCCACCCAATTTCAAGATATTCAAGAACTTGAAGGTAGGAAAATCGACCTTGTTTCAATGCCCGCAAAAATTCTTTGCTAAAGATTTTGGCCAAGAAATCTGCCCGAGACGCGTGTTTGCAAAGATTGGTTAATTTGTCTCAATCCCGAATCTAGATCAAGCATTCCTCTGCTGGCTGATGAAATTGTTAGTTTGCCCTTTTGATGTTTCATTCAAGTTACAAAACAGCCTTTTGTTGTTGCAGGTGCTACACTTTATTGTTTCTGACGACGAAGAAATTGAGGTTCTTCTCAGAAGCGCTCTGCCTGACATCGAGGAACTCTACATCGAGTTCTCAACAAAGAAAGTATATAATGTGAGTTGCTGGTCCAAGCGGGACTGAAATTTCAAGTGGATTGAGTCAATAACCCTCACTTGGAAACCTTCTTGATATTTTTTCTACTATATTCACCGTTGTTAAAGGTTCCAGAGTTCTTAACTTTATGGTTTGCTATTCAGATTGTTTACTTGTACACGTGTTCTAACTTTGATTTTCCCATTTTGTAATGATGTGATACATGAACTCTTTTTTTTTTGTTTAAAGTTTTTTTTTTTGACAAATTTTACGGTCAAAGCCTGCTAGATACTCTGCATAACTATTCGAATGCTAAAAGTTAGCGCACCAATACTCTTAAGCGGAAAATTTTTGGGATGAATTGAACCTTCACCTGAAACGAACTCGGGCACAGGAATCTTACTTTCCGTAATTTTGCTAGTTATCGATCTATGACGTGCGACCAAGTCTTAAATATATCTTAACACGTTGACTACGTATTGGTACATATGCGTACCACGAAATGTATTTCTCCAGGACGTAGTGGTACATAATTCAGGTTGCCTAAAATCGGCCAAATCCGAGAAAAGCAGGCCGATAATTCAATGTATACTAGTTTATTTGTAGGTTCCGCTATAAAAATTTCATTTATTTTCTTTTTGCAGTATTTAAAATTTAATTAGGAAGTACTCCTATCATAAATTTTAGCCAGCCAACGCAATTAAGAAAAACTAAATCACGGAATTTGTCCGGAAAAAATGACCGTCTGGCAACCCTGTTTAAAAAAAGTACAAAAAATGAAATAATAGTACAAGATGAAGCAATCGTAGTCAACGTGTTAATATGTTCAATAGTGTTCTTTTAATTTCGAAATGATAAAGTGTACACGGAATATGCCAACTATGATTGCATAGAAAGAACTATCCATTTCAATTAACATAATCCCTAGCCTATCGCGTGTGTTGCGTTCCAGATACGGCTGCGATGGGGGAATTGATTGACTAGTACCTATTCAAGTATTTATATTGTGATGACTCGTTAAGTTTCCATTGTTTTAATTATTAACATTCCCTTCACACACTTTTACATAATGCATATCACAGTAGTAAATATAGTACTACTTTACTATACGCGGGCTGTTTGAATCTACCGGTCGACTTCCACAGAAACCCGCAAATCGGCATATTTAACCGCAAATAATTTTCTTCGTTAATATTCCTGGAAAAGTGAGCTACCGTGGAGTATAAAGTGATACTCCAGTGATAGTGATAGAGGGGAGTGAAGCCGTGATATGCTAGCAAGGGATTACCATATCTTGTACACGGAACATGCTTTAACCCGCGTGGTCCTGTATGATCTGGGTGTAATGTTCGTCTTGCACAGAATTAGAAACCAATTTTGAATGGCCGGCAATTCCTTTTGACTAGTTGAAATTTACAAGCTTGTCCGTCAGGACGTCGTGATTTAATTTGCTTTGCATTGATCATCTAAGGCAAATAATATTCACCTAATAAAAAAACGGACACTTGAATTATTTTTGACACTCGTAATATTTCATTCTGGAGATTTGTGCTCTAAATGACTGTTCAGTCTTCCATTTGTATACAAATCATAAACGGCCTATATATTCTAAATTCTAGCCCATTGCATATTGACGGTAACTCGTTATTGGGCCTATTATTGCAAACAGCGTTGACGAATGACTATGCAACGGCTGACGTTGCATAGTCATTCGCCAACACTTCCGATATGTGTTTATTCGTTGCCTGCCGACTGGTAACTCTCGTTTTTAATCCTGTAGGAAAAATAACATTGATGACGGCCAATGTATCCGCGAAAAAAAGTTAATCCTTTGAAATGGTTCAGATATATTTTATTAAAAATAGATTTTTTATGATTTTTCGCATCGGCCCCCTATAAAAGTATAAGTTGAAAATAATTCAAATGACGCTGTCAACGTTTCGCACAAGACAGTGCAACATTTTGCTTTCATGTGAGGAAGAGTGTTTAACCAATTTTCATCATTGCAATTTTCCTCAAAGGTCACAGTTTTTTATTCCATTTTACTATTTTAATAGATTTTCATGCAAGCATTACGCTGCGTACAGGAAGTTTTTGAAAAATTTGTTCGGCTAGAAGTTGATCCTTTTTTTTTCTATCTTGTGATAATAGTTATTTTTCTCCTCAGATGCACGCCGGAAATGAAGTCTTAACTATAGATTTTTCGCTGGCGCCGACATCACTGACGTCCTTGACGCTGCCTTCCATCGCTTTGGACGATAACTCCTACAAGAGCCTCCTGCGCATGCCTAAGCTGCGGCGAGTCTTTGTCAAAAGCAAGAAATTCTCAATGACTCAGCTTAAACTGTGAGTCTATCTCTGGTCCTCGCAAATTTGTGTGAATTGAGTGCCGTAGTGGTTAGCTTCTTAGCTGGCGCGTTTGTCGTTGTTCAGCAATCAAATGGGTCGGGTGATCTATAGGCATTTCTGTACCATGCACACACGCAGAATTATAAAACGTAGGTCTAAAAATAATATTTTTGAGGGACAAATTGAAATTATCAAGTAATGAAAGGATTTTATCGTGTGTATTTATAGCGTAAAGAATCTGTTGTTGTTGTTGTTGGTTGCGACCGTCACGCACGCCGGGGGGAGGCTCTGGTGGAGGGCGGGGGGCTGGAACCGGAAGAGGAGGGAGGTGGGCGAAGGCAGGGAGGGTGGCCAGGAAAGCCGCTACCTCCACGGGGCTGTCCCATAGTGAGGAGACGCTGAGAGACGTGGGGAAGGCGGGGCAGACGAAGAGGTGCTGAAAGGATTGGAGGGGGTCCCCGCATTCCGGGCAGGCGGAGCTAGGGGAGCGTCCGATCCTGGCGGAAAAGGACGCCAGGGAGCTGCAGTATCCCGAGCGGAGCTGGGATAACGCTGAGCGGTAGGGGCGAGGGCTGTCTCTTATACACATCTAGATGTGTATAAGAGACAGGGAGAAGTCCTTGCGGAAGCCAGCAGGCATGCGCTGTCTGGCTGCAGCGATCAGGATTTCCCTCAAGGTCGACTCGCCGCCACACGAGGTGGGGGGAGGGACCGTCTGGAGAGCCGCTTCAGTGGCTGCCGTGTAGGCGGGCCAGTCAGCTTTTTTGAAGTTGACGTAAGAGCGGGCAGCTCGGGGGGTCGAAGAGTCGACGGAGGAAGGGAGGTGAATCAGAATGGGCAGGTGGTCCGAGTTCAGGGCAACTTGAGGGGTCCAGGAGGTGTCGAGTAGAAGGTGATCGCTGATGATTGCGAGGTCCGGAGAGGAGGGTGGGCCGTGTGAGGCCCACACACAGTTCTGTCTAATCTGTTGGTCATAGTTCGTGTTTCCATCACAATACAGTGCTATTACTTGAAATGTAAATCCTAAATTTTCATATTCACGTTATGCTTGTGTATTTTATTGAAATTATATTTATCCGTTTTCAACTTACTCGCTCAAATCAGTTCAATATTTCATTTCATCTCCCAGTCACGGTTTGTTCTAGTTCCGCACAAGGTGCTTGCGTACCTCAATGGTGTGTCTAGATAAAGTGGTCATCTATGGAATTGTGCCGCACACTCTTTAATTTCTCGCTGTTGCCCACGTGTGACAAGCTATATCTGGCCGGTAGCCGCCGTGTCGTTGCTCCAGACAAGCTCCCTAATGTGTGGTGAATTACAGGCTCGTGGCCCACATTCAGCTGGTCGAGATAGGCGCCGCGATGGTGTCCGTGGACCTCGCCGCGGCACAGGAGCTCGCTGCGCTACGCAGGAAGGCCCTGGCCGAGGGCAGGTTCAGGTTCCCCTCCCAGTGTCTCGACCACGACGAGCCCCTCGTGCTGCATATCAACTATGCCCACCACGTAGCCTTCGCAGATCCTCTCGTCAAAATCAAAGGTTTTATGCCACATATTTCCCAGATATTGGGACGAATCAAGTAACCTGTCTCAACATTCTTCGTCTAAGTCAAAATAAATTGATATTTGATGCGGTATTTTTAAGAGACATATTCTCTGTTCTTGATTTGATATGATCATCAATGAGTTTCCTCACGCATACATTGATAAACATTGTTGAAAGTGCACACTATATGCTGATTTGTTTTACTTTACCTAACCGTGCATTTTTCCTTAATTTTCTTCCTGCTGAACTTCCCATTTAAAATGAAGCATGAATCCCATTCAGGGAGTAACACCATAACTGCATGCTCCTGAATTAAGTTATACATTACCACCTATACCTCCAGTCGCTTCATCCTCGTCACCATCCGTGACGTCATTGTTACTAGTCTATATGAATACCTCACGCATCCCATGAGTCAGTCGTAGTCCAACCTCTATAAGCGTCCACTTAGTAAAGGCGGCTCCGACACTCGCCTGTTCAGTAGTTGAACGTGTCGGATCTAGCTACCTCATCTATTGCTGTATTGTTACTGCTATGCCTTACCTTAAATAATATGTACGTTACAGTTGCCACTCAATATTCACTTTTCTATAAAAAGGACAATAATCGAACAGTAATTATTTTGTAAATTATATCTAACTAAAACCCGGGTGTCACTGAAAAGACATCCGGACCACTGTTCTGATATGCATGAACGTGTGTTTGTTTCAGACCACAAGCTGAACTCGTACATTTACGAGGGCGTCGGGTCGTGTCGCTTTGACAACGAGTGGCTGGACTTCGGTCACGACTTCCTCCAGCAGGAGGCTGGCAAGGATCTCCTGGACACTGATGACGAGGACGTATCGTACGAGGATGATGATGACGATGATTTTGACGACTTCGCCTGGCTTTATGATGGACCACTCGACGAAGATATATGTACGTTCGTGATCTTCAGAGCTTGTGCTTTCATAAAACATACGCAGCTTCATATTTCTGGTTGTGTGACTATTCTATCAGAGAAAGTTTTCGAGTTGGTCGTGGGTGAAGCTAAGATCTTGAACAAAAATTTTATACTATCTCATTCACAGAATTACAATCGAATCAAAAGAATTTTTTCCTGAAACTTGTAAACATTAGTAAATGTGACATTAGTGAATTAATTGACGTAAAATCATGAAAAAATTCTGAAATTTCGAAATTACACCCGATTGTTGCCAGTTCCAATGTCATATTGTTTAAATTATATTATAATACATTTCATAGTTGTAACAATTTCAATCGTGTGCTAAGCCAATAACTAATAGCCTGAATTATGATTGACACGTTTTGCATAACTTCCCTAAACTCTAGTGCCTGATTTGCAACTTCTCTATCTTGCAGAGGACGATTTACTCTACGGTGGCCATCGTGAATATCAAGCCTCACATGACAACTTGCCCAAACTTACGTAGTAACGTTTCTGAAAAATAGAATTTTTTTCAGTGTTGGAAATAATGGAAAGGGATTTTTTTTCTGCGTCGACCCTGCAGCTACTCGTTATGCTGGAATCGGGATATAATTTTGTTCTTACCATCTAATTTATTGAACTTCGTTCCTGGTTAGGTTCATACCGCCACTGCTTGAATTTTTGGTTAATCACTTCCAAAGAAAACAAGTTTTTTTTTCAGTCAGGTTTTGTTGACCATCTCTTCCAGTGCTCACGTGTTCCGAGAAAGTTCTGTCGTAGATGGAGAGCTTAAGATGGCCCCGACATTTCTTGATGCAATTTTGTGCTTTCATGCTTACGCACTTCTTTAACAAATATTTTTGTATCTAATAAAGATTATTTTAATTTAATATTTGTATTGAATAAAGAGTAGTTTAATTGAATATTTGTATTGAATAAAGGATATTTCAATAGTGTGTTAGTAACCTTGGAATTAACATGCTGAGTCTTATCATAACAAATATTACTGTGTCCTCTAAACTGACAGCTTCTTTCTTCTTACGTCGATGTTTTTGGAGCTCTTGAAGATCATCCATGTCGCCCATGGCACGAGCAGAGTAGTACAACGGTGCAAGATGGATGAGAATCCCGATTTTACGCCATCCAGTCCAGACCATCTCCAGCGATATAGCAGATAAGGAAGGACGAAATGGCACAAGTGACTTTTCCGAATAACGTCACAATGTCTTGAACTTAGAGAGTCGTAATAATTTTTTACCAATTTTATCTATCGACCAATTTGTCGAACCAATTTTATCTATCGTTGAAGCACCAACAAATGCCGAGGGCGCAGTCGTGAGCAAAAAAAGTTAACTCCTAAATAAGCCTGGAGCAAACGCCCAGCCTCAGCATGAAATAACTTTACTCAGCCACAGAACAAGAAGTCGCTGAATACACTGGAACTCTAATCCAGACTACTGACCCACAGCTTAAAGATAGTATCGTCTTAGGTCTTCAGCCATTTTTACATATCCTTATAGGAGCACTGGAAACTGGTCCATGAAGCCCCTTTCCTAAACAGGGTTTAACTCGGCCGATACTTAGGGATGCTTGCTCATACGCAGGCAATTCCGCATCCGGCTGCACGTACTTCGGCCAATCTCTTGTGGCTTACCATATTAACATATTCAAGCTGTCCCGGCTCACAACCTTGCTACTAAAAACTGGCTCTGCCAGCTCGCGTGAACCGCCTAGTGAGCTGGCACTTGAACTGGCAGTGATCTCTGACTTTTTGCAGCACTGTAATTGATTACGTCCACTCGGGTTTGTTTTTTGGTCGAGAAATGTTGCAACTTGCGTATGTTAGGCCAGTAGAGGTAAGGCCTGATGCAGAATGGTCATGCTTACCTTTAGCATGCTCAAATCGTGGCTGTGGATATCCGGCGTTATTGTTTTGAGCAGTAGACTCAATAAGCTGCTGTGCACCCTGATGTTCCGACTCACGGTAAAGAATATGATCAAGAAATTGGCAAAGCTGGATTCGGACATGCGCCCCTCGCCACCAATTAGTCGCACCGCAAACCTGCCGTAGTAACAACAAGGCCGCGACATCAGCCTGACACCACCAAATACGACAGCGATTAGCCCAGGGTGTAATGACTGTACACCACCATACTTTGCATCGATGCCAATGGAAACTATATACAAGTTTTCAAAATGTTATGCCGTCTGATTAGACTATTTGAACAATGTATTGAACTCTTGCAAGGGTCGATGTTGCAGTTCAGCTTCATGAATCCATATGATACGAGAGCGCTCGAAACGGCAATTGATTTTGCTGTCGACGGCCTGCGGATCCTTGAATATTTATCTAACTCTGTCTCCAGACTAGCAACTGCTGAATTTGAGGTCTGACCACTACTCATAGTGTCAATTGGCAATGAAGAACATTTTTTGTTGCCCTTCCTCAAGCTCATTTTTTGAGTCCTAGGAGACTAGTGGGACCATGGTTGAATTACTCGTGGCGGCAATTTTTACTAGACTATTTATCTTCACGATTGTGATTCTGAAATGTTACTTAATTGCGCATTTAAAATGACGCCGAGAAATGGGCTTGTCGAAACGAGTTTCAAGGTCAGCAATTTTATTTCTTTTTAATTATGAGCACTAAAATATGGCGCTTATAAACCAGCTGTTCGTTCATCCTCTTTTAAAGCCATATATAAAACAAATTATAAGTAAATACTATTATGTCTGGATCCTAACATGTTGGTGGTTCTTGCCTTAGTAAATCACCTCCAAGCGGGCAGCATGTATATGAGGTTACCCAAAGCGCATGCACGGAGCTCGCATATAACAACCAAAGAAATGAATGGGTCCTAGCGTCCAAATAGTCGCATTTTATGCAGGTACCAATAAAGAGACTTTTGTCAGGCCTAACTGTGTCCGAATGACCTACGTAAGCGCAAAAAGTGCATCGCTCTTTGAACAAATCTCTCTCAATTTTCTGAACGCCTGATTGGCCCGCAGCGTTCAATAAAATAAGGCATTTAATTTAGCAAACGGCAATAGTATTACTAATGTATCGATGCAAAGGACATTCGAAATTGTGTTTTTAAACAAAATACTATCAGTTAGTTTGAATTCTGAGAAATTTCAGGCATAAATTTCACATCCACGCTTGCTCTGTGCTTCAAACGATTTGGGTGACGTTGGAAGTAGTTTCAGCGGGGAGCGCAGCCGTGCGCCACTAATTTTGTGCACCAATAAGCCCTGAATCGAACGCCTTGGATCTCTCCGGACATCCACCAATCATCCGTGGACCACACTGCTTAGTCTTCCTCCGCCTCGCATAGAACCTGCCGTGCACCACCAGGCCGCGGATCGAATCTGACTTCCGGGCGTCGTTAAATTACGTAATTTTACGTTCATCACATCTGAGGTTAGGTTTCAGATAGCATAGTTCGGTTCGAAAATTCATCGTCTTCCGACAAGTGGCCGTTCGAACGAGGGATGGTTCGACCCACTGCCTAGATACGGATGGCTTGAAGTGTTGAAGGCTACGTTCCGGAAGGCAGGAATCATGATGATCCATTACATCCAGGGCAGTGGTGGTCTTCGGCAGGCGACCCGTTTCAGCGTGCACATTCAACGTGAAACTAACATATCGCCCCATACTTTACTTATATATACCCTTCTCTGAAATTTTTTCGCCAGTTCGTTGCCTGACCTGCGAGGTTAGGGGTGAGGGTGGGGTCGCCTGCCGAAGACCACCACTGCCCTGGATGTAATGAACCATCATGATTCCTGCCTTCCGGAACGTAGCCTTCAACACTTCAAGCCGTCCGTATCTAGGCCGTAGGTCGAACCAACCCTCGGTCGAACGGCCACTTGTCGAAGGACGATGAATTTTGGAACAGAATTATGCTATCTGAAACCTAACTTCAGATGCGGTGAACGTAAAATTACGTAATTTAACGATGCCTGGAAGTCATATTCGATCCGCGGCCTGGTGGTGCACGGCAGGTGGTGGTCAAGGCCGGAAGAGGACAAAGCCGAGTGGTTCACGGCTGCGCTCCCGTGCGGCTGACCAGTTCCTAGGGTGCTGATGAAGCTTCGTGCCATATTCTATTTCAACGTATTTGTCGAAACTTCATTTCATTGTACGGACTAACTTTTGAATAATCTTCGGTGCCGGTTTACCTTTGGAATCGTGGAGTAAAGCCTTTCATGGAAGCTTAGCCTGAGCACGGCCAGGACCTTTGGACTCGTGGAGCGTGGACACGTGCCAGAAGGATGTCGTCTGCGCTACGATCGTCCTATCTGGCCTATGGTTCCCATTTCGGCTGCGACCATGCACTGCCTTGGTCCCGGCAACCTATCTCTGCGCGGGTGTGGACCAGTCCCAAGAACCAGCACTGCACCAGCAATTCACCGACTGAATTTTTAGTACTTCAGGTACGTCACCCTACCTTCGTGGGCATGGAGCATGCGGTGATGAAGTGATAAATCATGTTCCTTTTCTCTTAGACCCTACTAATCATTAAGCCCGTAATAATCACTACTTCGATAATCTTTGATAACTTTGAATTTATATATGCTTCCTTACAAGATTCGTTTTCAGGAATTAAAATTTCACGATTTATAAAATGTGTGGTAATACGAGGGGCATCCGGAAAGTAGTACCCGTTTGGGAATTGAACAAAAGGAAGTCTATATTAACAAATTTAAACATGTTCATTGAAAAGAACATGTATTACACTACTTCTCTACATAATCTCCGGACAATTTAAGCATTTGTCGTATCATATCACGAGTTTTTGTATACCAGTGTCATGTTCCTCTGCCGCCAGTGTATTGAGATACGCAGTCACGTGTTCTTTCAGTTCTTCGCATTTTGAAACTTTGTCCTTCCACGAAGTCCTTGAGTTTCGTAAACAGATGAAAATCTGAAGGAGCCAAGTCCGGACTGTAGGGTGGATGGTCGAAAATTTCCCACTTGAATTTTTTGAGAAGTTGTTGTGTTATCCGAGCCGTATGCGGCCTGGCATTATCGTGCAAAAGAATGACGCCAGTAGACAACAGACATCGCAGACGATACCTCAGTTGCTCAAATTTGTCCGGAGATTATGTAGAGAAGTAGTGTAACCCATGTTCTTTTCATGTAAAAAAAAAATGCAACTAGGCAGGGTGGCCTAGTGGTAACAGTTCAGAGTACCAAGATTGGCGCAGAGAGGCGCGGTTTCGATCCCAGCTCTGTGCGTCAGTTTCTCTGGTCAGAATCGGCAAGGAGGCCGGGCGGTTAAGCACAACAGAATTGTAGCAGTGAGTTGCGAGTTCGAGACCGCACAATGCTGTGAATGTTCTGCGATGTTAAGAGTCGGCGATAGGCCTACGGCCTACTAAACGCTGAAACCGCTATTATTATTAATAAACATGTTTACATATGTTAATATTTACTTCCCTTTGGTCAATTCCCAAACAGGTACTACTTTCCGGATGCCCCTCGTAATTTGCCACAGCTCAGCATACTTTCTGCTACAATTAGCGAATTTTGTCTTTGATGACCTTTTACCGCGTCGCTCATTTCCTTTCAACGTCCGATCTAACTTTGTGCCTTGCTTAACCGCGGTTTATTTATTCTTCAGAACCTACGGGTTGGGCAGACACGGGAGCGAGTTGCGGCTCCACGTTGATGAGGAGCCGTTACTACAATTCATTCGGCAGCACAGAGCAATTTCGTGGAGTTGATGGCAATTTCACCCATCTTGCGACTTATCATTAAAGAAAAGATTGTTTTAGCCATGGTTTTACCCTAGTTTACTTGCCTTCGAATTCAGTTTATTCTTCCCCAAAGTTTTGTCTAGTTTTAGACGGTCCTTCACCACTAAAAAGTCTTCCTGGTGTTAGGA